ATTTAGAGATGATTGTAGCTTTGATATTTTTTCTTGTTCTTTAATAATATAAGCCTTATTTGAGGCGATAAAAAAAAAAAAAAAAAAACTGTCTAGAATTAAATATGTTATACTGACACTACTACTCCTATTAAGAGAGTGCAAATTTTGTAATTTTATGATGATAAAATAAGACTATAAATTTGAAAATGTTAATAATGTTTATGTACAGTATGCAAATATAATCATTATCATATAAGATTGTAATTTGATGATAATATTCACTAACATGATCATCAAAACTAAATAATAAAAACTGTATGATGATTAATGGACGGAGAAGATAAAGATTGTAACTCTATCATATTAAAAAGGTAGTATTATTTTTTACAATATGCATATACAATCATTATTATAAAAACTGCAACTTTAAGATAGTGATATCATAAGGGATATTTATATTTATATACCTAGTGTTTTAGATTTATTTAAAATTTAATCCTTCAGTTTTTTATCTCATTAAATATATATGTTTAAATTAAATTTAATATACAAATTATCAATAATTAATTTAACCTTTAAACTGAACAAACTCTCTTTAAAGAAAAGAGAGAAAAAAAAAACCATAAACTTTATAATATTACAAAAAATAAAAAATAAAAACAAAAAAACCATTTCATAGACAATTTTTCATATTTTTAAGGTCATAACCATAAATTTAAAGTTTTTTTTTAGTTTTTTTATTTTTTTATTCAAGGGTATTTTTGATATTGTAAAGATAAAATTGAGGATTTATCGTAAAAATGTATAAATTTAATTATTAAATTTAATTTAAAAATATACATTTAATAAGATGAAAATTTGAATATATAATTTTTTAATAAATTCAAAACATAAAATATAAAAAAGTAAATATTACGTATCATAAAATGCAAAACAATAAAATGAATACCATAACTAAAATTTTTTTATACACTCTCTGGTCCAAATAACTATTTATAAATAACATCACGTTAAAGTTCTTTTATTTTGTTAATTTGAGTTTAAAATTTAAATTTTATTACAATAAAAAATTTTTATAAACAGTCACATTTAATTTTTTTTATTATAATAAAAATTTTTATATAAAATTATATCTTAATTTAAATTTTAAACTCAAATCAACGAACTAAACACACGTTAATAATTACTTTTCTACATGTGTAATAATTACTTGGTTCTTATTTAAAAGTTGACATTGGGCAAGTATTGGACGATTGAAGAAGTCAAGTCAACACTTGGCAGTTAGCTCTACACAATCGTCATCTCAAACGTCACACCTTCTTGGTTCTTTCTTTCTCATCCACTGAAATTTCAGTAAAACAATACACGCGCACACACACCCTAATACATGTATAAAGTGTGTCTTAAAAGCTTCTGGTCATTGTGAAATAACGAGTCTTATTTTACTGATTTAAATTTTATTATAATAAAAAATTTTAAAAAATAATTATATTTAATTTTTTTATTATATAAAAAATTATAAATTAATTTAAATTAAAATTTTAAATCGACGAAGTTATATTAAATAATTCTACTTTCACTTCTCTATCTCAACTATCTACGGTATTCTACACGGCTAAATATGGCTGGTTGTATTCACGATTGCGACCTCAACCAATCCGTTTTCTTTGGAACTTAACCAATGCCAAATCACGAGTAATTCCCTCCGTACTGCAGATTTGTCAAACACTCTACATCAACGACTTTGTCAAAACCTTGTGTCAATTGGGTTGGCGAGAAAATCTCAAACACTCTCGAAGATCACGAGGGTGACGACGACGAGATGTGGTTGAAGATTCAAAGGGGGAAGCGGAATCCTATGTACAACAAGAGCCAATTCTACGTGATCACTGCTTCACGTCCATTTCGTCACTAGAGAGCGCCTTTAGTGAATTTGCTGGCTAATGAAGCTTAGCAATTCAAGCCTCTCAAAGAGTGCACTTTCGCAAATTTTCTAGAGCGTTTTCAGTGAAGATAATCAAATAAGAAGAGCTGTTAGGAAGGATCTCAGAGCAGTCAGAGAACGAGACCCAGCTTGTACGACTCACGTCCATTGTTTTCAGAAAAAGACTGCCTTGGCAGTCTTGATTCAGAGTCGGGTTTAGGAGGTTTTTGGTGTCGATATGCATCCAGTAGCGAAGATCGGGAGTGGGTTAGTGATTGATCATGCCACCGGAGTTGTGATTGGGGAGATGACGATTGTGGGAGACAATGTCACAATTTTGCATAATGTGACTTTGGGCGGCACAAGGAAAGTGTTTGGAGACATACATCTTAAGACTTCGTTCAGTTCATTGATTTGAGTTTTTAATTTGAGTTAAGATGTAATTTTATGTGAAAATTTTTTATTGTAGCAGAAAAAGTTAAATGTGACTTTTAGTGAGAACTTCTAACTATAGTAAAATTAAAATTAAAAACTCGAATCGATGAAATGAACAAGACTTAAGATTGGTGATGGGGTTTTCATAAGAGCGGAAAGCAATGTTTTGGGAAGTATTAGGATTGGAAAAGGTGTTAGAATTGGTGTTGGGTCTATTGTGTTGAAACAGGTGCTTGCCAACACTACTGTTGTTGGAAATCCTGCTCAACTAATTGGTAAATAAGGGTGTAATTCGGTCGGGTAAGGTCGGGTTGAGCTGAAAAATTGAGCCGACCCGCTTAGTGCGGGTTGCAAAAATTTTAGGCCGCAACATCTCTTAAGCCTACAAACCCGCAACCTGTCGGGTGACCTCGGGTATGTCCGGGTTGGTGAAAACTAATTTTAATCTATGACTTCATACCTCTTTTAACAGTCCAAAAACATAAAATCCATAAATAGTCCATAAGCATTAACATAACATCAAACATATTTATTAACAATCAATAAAGTCTAAAAATAAAATTAACAATACATCAAATAAACAGTCCATATAGAGATAGTCCAATAAAATAGATTTAGGAATTTAGAGTTACACACCTAAATTGGGTTGGGTCGGGGCAAAACGGGTTCAAAATGCCCGCCCTGCCCCCCAACCCGCACAGTGCGGGTTGGGACTATTTGAATCCAAATTAAAAAAAAAAAAAAAAAAACCTACGTTTCGGGTCGGGTCGGCCGCGGGTTATTCGGGTTCGGGTTCATTTCTTACACCCCTATTGGTAAATAAGAAAAACTACAAATCATTCATCAAGCAGTGATATCATTATCAGTTGCTCAAATGTGAAACCTCGTGATTTCATACTATCTAGACAATGTTGAAAATTTGTTTATTATATGTAGTGTTTCTGTTTTCCAACTAGATATATATCTTGTTTCACTTATTTTTTGAATGCCTCTCTTTTAATTATTTCCTTTTACAAATATGTAAAATTTGTTTGGCATTTTAGGGAACTTTTCTTTTTTTTTTTTTTTTAAATTCAAGCAAAAGGAAAGAGCCAAATTTTTTTTTTTTTTTGAAATTTCAAACAAAAGGAAACAGCCAAACAAAAACAAACAAGAAAAGCAGCAGAAAAGGGTACAAACAAACAGGGAAGGAAAGCTAACAAAAGTATAAAGACTCCATTCCTTGTCGTGCTGAAGAAGACAGGAGTCAACGCATTAAAGTCAATACTCAAATGCACCCAGAGACACCAAACGCAGAAGACCGTCTAGCTAAGTTTGTGAGCAACATTGATTTATAAAGCAATTTTTTGATAATCATTAGCTACATATTATACGTATTATAATTCATTCATGAGGAACGATTAATTATAACTACTATTTTCACGAGTAAATAAATAATTATACGCTTACAAATATTCACAATCCCATCATCTTGGTCCTCTCAAGAGTTAGAGAACGTTTGATTTATGTATTCAGAATCATTCTTATTTTACGTGTGTTTTTTATGAGAGAAAACACTATAGAAAATTATGAATCATGATTCAGAATCAGGGACGAATATAGGAAACAAACGTCTAAACATCAATCCAATAGCTTTCAACCAAAAAAAAATCAATCCAATCACTTACAAATTGTCTTCAGCGAAAAAATAAAAAAAAAGTCTGAAGTGTTTTTACCGTGAAAGTTTAAATTAAATCCTTGTTTAGTTTACGGATTCGAGTTTTTAATTTGAGTTGAGATGTAATTTTATGTGAGAGTTTTTAACTGTAATAGAAAAAGTTAAATGTAATTTTTATAAGAGTTTTTAACTGTAGTAAAACTAGAATTAAAAACTCAAATTGATAAAATGGACGAGGCTTAAAATCTCTTAAGTCTCGTTTATTTCACTAATTTGAGTTTTTAATTTTAAGTTTTTACAGTTAAAAACTCTAAAAAAATATTACATCTAATTTTTTTATTACAATTAAAAACTTTTAAAAAATATCACACCTCATTTCAAATTAAAAATTCAAATCTACAAAATGAGGTTGTTTGGTTGAGAAATTCGTTTCCTGATTTAAATTATGATTTATGGTTTGCTACAATATTTTTTCTCATAAAAAATATACGTAAATAAAAAATAATTCTAATAACATAATTCTAATTGATGAATCAAACGTATCCGATCTTTTTTACATAACCACTTGAAAGGTTTACCCGTAGTTAGGCTACCATCTAGCAAATCACTTGCTCTAAAGAATGGTTTTTAGTCAAAAAAGTGAAGAACAATAGAAGGAACATAGCTGATGTGGATCAGAACTGTGGGACCCAAACCAACCAGAAAACGCCAAAATTCGCCGATTATAGAACGCGGTGTCGTCCGGTTAATTTTCCTGACTTCTGAGTACAAAAGTTTCCCGCCACGTTAAAAGTGGCATTTTACGTAATTTAAGCAGTATCGTAGGGCAATCAGAAGTCAGACAGAATCAATCAGAAGGGGGAGAAGCGCGCATGACATGAAATTTGAATTCAGACAGCGCCTGGCGCGGCCGAAGAACGCGCCACGTGTCCCGAATCTCACCATCTTCTTCAACCTTTTACCAACCAAATATCCGTACTCTTTCAAATCTCAAGACGAAGCCCACTCTTTTTTCTCTTCAAAAACCTCTCGACGATAACAAACAAAAAACCTTCTCGAGCAACAACAATGGCGGCCAAGGTGAAACCCTCGTCCCGTTACAGCTCGTACGATGCGCGATCCTCGACTTCCTCGCACTTCTCGGACCCTTCCTCGTCTGTGGAGCTTAAGTTTAAGCCCACCTCCTCCTCCTCCTCCTCTTCGCGTGCGCTTGTCAAATCCAAGCCCTCCGATCTGGCCAAGGCCAAGTCCAAGCAGTCCGATCCGAACTTCACCACCATGGTGAAGAAGTTCATGGAGAAGCGGTCTAATTCTTCGTCGTCGTCGAAGCTCAAGAAGGTGGACAATCGGATGGCGGGATTGGTGATCCCGTCGGATGTGATCGCTGAGGACTTGAAGAAGACGGCGAGGAAGGGGACGAACTTCTCGGCTCTGCACAAGAAGTTGTTCGGGAAGGGAACGCCGTCGTCGGAGAAGGAGAAGAGGGAGGTGAAGGCTTTGACGGAAGTCAAAGGGAATACGAGGACTCTGGCCATGGTTTTGAGGAGCGAGAGGGAGCTTTTGAGCCTGACCAAAGAGCAGGAAATGGGGATTTCTGAGCTTAAGTTGATGCTAGAAGAGAAGAACACAGAAGTGAGCCATTCTATATCCTATTCTCGCCTCTTTCTGTTTCAATGTTCTGCTCAAAAGAAGCAAAATTGTTAAGATTATTTTTTTTCTTAAGATTTTACCTTTTTTTCTTTGTTCTCTTAACTTCAAATGCGCCAAAAATGGAAACAATTCTCTAATTAGTGAAAAAAATTCCGCAATAAACGCAGGATCTTAATTCCCTAAATTCCGATTGAAAAATAAATGTGACTTTGTGAAAGTGAAACCACAGTTTTCTTTATTTTGCATTATCTGATGTTCTAAATTGTTTGATTGGGATGAGAAGGTGGAAAAATTGAAGGACTTGTGCTTAAAGCAAAGGGAAGAAATCAAAGCATTGAAGGATGCAATACTTTTCCCGGACGTTATTAATTCGCAGTTTCAAGACATCTTGGAGAAACAGGGCTCAGAGCTGAAGCAAGCGAAACAGTTAATCCCAACTCTTCAAAGACAGGTGACTTCTCTCACAGGCCAGCTCCAATGCTTAGCTGAGGATCTTGCCGAGGTAAATCCTGTTTTCTACATACATTGTACTCTGCTTATTCAATGCTATGCTTTCAAATACAGTTTTGGTAAAATCCTTGCAGGCTTATACTTTTCTGTTTAAATGTGATATCAGTAGAGATTATGGGTTAATATCGATTTTTCGAAACCGTGCAATCCAGGAGAACCTGGAACTGGAAATGGGTCTCTCTCTTCTTTTTTCACCTGTAGTCTTGTGTTATATTGCTGACATTTATTGCTTTGAGCAGGTGAAAGCTGATAAATATTCAGCTAGGGCAGGTTTTCATCACCATAGCAGTTCTCCGAGAACACCGATGTATAGTCGCGAAGAGACATCTAATTCCTTGGTAAGAGCTCCATGGTATTCAATATGCTATATATTTGGAAATTTTAACTGAATGTTTTACCCAACTTCTGTGTAGCCTCTTCTGTTCCAAGTTATAGTCCAGTTGAAGGCTAGAAGCTATCTTATACCATTGGAAATTGGATGCGATTTTCTTTTCTAGTGTTGTTCAGGCACCGTTGTTATTATTGTTTCTTCAATCTTCCCCAACATTGTTTCAATTCTTTCTCCTGTTCCTAAAAAATCTCTGCTCAATAACTTAGGAGTTCAGCTCTGGCGATCCAGCTAGCCCCAAGAGTCCGGATGACATGTTGCTCAAAGATTTAAATCCTTGCTTGACACCTTATTATGCTAAATCAAGATCCAAGGTATAACTCCTTCCTATTTCCTATGGTCCTTTTCTAAGAGTGCCTCTTCAAGGATACACAACCTTGCTTCCTTTTCCTCGTCGACTGCAAGAGTATTATGAAATTCTGATTGAGTAGTTATGAAAATTTGCAGGAATTTGAAGCTTTGGGATATGATTCTCCTCAGGATGAAAGCTTATCTGCAGACAAATTGGAGTTTGGAATCGATTCTCATGGCAGGAAATTGTCCAAAAGTTCTGATTGTAGCCAACATGCCAAAATAGGAACAACAATCTCCCGAACAGCCAAAATAGGAACAACAATCTCCCGAACGGCCCGAAGATCGGACGACACTCGATGCACATATGGAAAACAAATGCACCATAAACTTTTTTGAATCACCAGTCATTTGCTTTGTTCATTTCATCTGTTTCATTTTTTAAGTTTGTCATGTTCTATAGACCATGATTTTGGTCAGAAGTCTGCGTATTATCTTGTGGACAAGATAAAACCGCGGAAAAATGCGAGGCTATTCCATAGTTGGAACGGGGTTTATGTTCTTAAAACATTCACTTGTTGAACACGGCGCTTCAAGAACATAAATAAATTTGATGAGTTCTTTTTGCAATATAATTCCGCTTATCAGCGCCAAAAGGCACCATAACTAGTGTGATTTTTTCTTTGGATTGAAATTCTCCTCCATAACTGTGTCAACGCAAGTTGCTATTGTGCCTGATTATGATAAAGTTGGAACTACTATTATGAAGAACCAATACCCTTAACACCAAAACTGGGATGAAAAGATACAACTCAACATAAACTCAGCGGAGATGCTATTATTTATTAAACAGAAAAGCAACAACGTTTGACTTCACTTTCAACATCATAATTTACTATGTTCAACCCGCAATACCCATTACAACATCCCCTTTTTACACGCAAAGCTATTTCCTCAAGCCATTCCACCGCTTGTCGCTGTTCTAATTATCTGAAACAAGGCTGCAGCAAAACAAAAGGAGGGAAACATATCAATTCATAAGTACGAATTGAGCTCAAGAAGCAAACCAAAAGCCTTATCTATAACCTAAACATGAGTTCTACGTCTAACATATGATCAGGATGAAAAAGAGTGAATATAGGCTCCGTTTGTTTCTCTAGTTCGAATAACAACTCAAGTTTTTTATTAGTGTTTTCTCCTACAAAAATTTCAAATTCAACTTTTTCTACTAGAAAAACAGTAATTTCTCTCACATGATGAATTTACTTTTTAAATTAAGTTCTCAACTCGAAGGCCATAATTGCTCTGCGAACATGGGATTCGACTTCCACGTTCCCCGGTTCTCATTCACGCCCTCAAACAATATCATACCACGTTAATTTAAAATGTCAAGCGACACGAAAGGAGATAGGAAAAAGGGGCACGGAGCTGAATAAATCAGATAGAATATGAATAAATTGAATGGTGAAGATAATGAAGAATAGGAAGAGAGTGCAATACATGACCCGATGACCACAAAGATGAAAAAGCCGAGGAGAATTGGGCCAACTGGGAAGTCATATCCTTTCTTTGATGAGGTTTCCGGAACTGATCCCCTCTTTGTGATGTTCCTCTGAAACTTTGCAACTTTCTTCTCAGCAACGCGCTTTGAGGTTGTCTGTCAAAATTCAAACAACCAAACAAATGGACATTCACATATATAAATTCTTTTGTAATTGTTATTCTCAAAACTAAGTTCAAGCAACACAAATATCATGTTTGTAACGCTCACATAAGGGCATTCACCAAGTTTAAAACTTTAACAGCATTTTCAAAAAACTAATTAGGAGAATTATAAATCTAAATCTCCAAATTTCAGAAAAAAAAAACCAAAACAAAAACAAAATTTCCTATCGTTTTAGGCCAAATTGTTATGTTTAACCTTTAAAAATTATTTTTGCAAGATCGGAATTCAGATTTACACATGCAAACCAGTAAAGAAACAATCGATTAAAAGAATATGAGCAATTGAGCTCTAAAATTGGTTTTCCAAAATCGTATCGTAAATTAATGTACTTTAACTAAGATTGGATTCGGATAAGCACATCTAAAAACTCATGCATGCTCCGAAAAAACGAAAAAGAAAATAGAAAAAGAAAAACATGAATAATAAGATTTATAAACATGAGGAAACGATAAACAGAAAAGAAACCTAAATGTAATTTCATCACCAATTGAAGCACGATCAAGAACAACGTCGATAAAGCATGTTATTACAAATTTATAATCCAAAAGGCCATGGGTAAAAGAATTAAGAGAGGAATATTGTATTAATAAAAACAACTAATGCGAAAATTACAACGGGTCGTTACCATTTTTAGCGTCTTTTTTGGCGAAAGAAGAAAAACAGATATACGTCTTTGAATTGGTTCTGAAGAGAAAACCTACGACCTTCCTTCGGCCTTAAAAAGGTATAGCGCTGACTGGACCAAATAAATTAGCAAAAAAAAAAAAAAAAAAAAAAAAAAAAAAAAGGATTTCCTCACAAATAATAATAAATAATAAATAAAATCTCTTTCTAACCCTTAAAAAATAAATATTTCTAAGAATCACCTCTTTTTTCTTTTCTTTCTTTTCTTTTTTTTCTTTTGGTAAAAAAGATATATTAAATAGGACACAGTTTTTTTTTGTTTTTTTGTTTTTACTTGGGTATAAAAATGATATTTCTTTTGGAAGGGCAGAGAAAATATCTCATTAGTCTTATTTTTATAATTATCAATGTTATTTATTTTTAACTGTTAGTTTTATTTTATCAAATCTATTTAATTAGTACATTGTTTTTCTTTTTGACATAATCATGATATAATCTAACTTTTGAAAACATATACCGGTAGACAACCTACCATAATAAAGAACGCAAATATCCCACTTGGCCTTTTGTGTTTTCTATTTTTATATTTTTTTTTTTTGGTGTTCTATATATTTTTCAGCGGTGGATTAGACCAAACGTGCACATTTGGACCAAATCACTCGGCTATTATTATGTTCACAACCTAACAACCCAAACGACAATCCAAGCAACAAAAAGGATAAACAAAATAATTAAAACAAAAAAAAAAGGCACCTTGAGGAAGCTCCGAAAAGACAACAAGGGGGAGGTTGAAGCTGGCACCTTACAGAACGACGAAAGACAAAAGTCATTCTTGCCGTTTGTAATGTTTCCATTGACCATTCTTTTCTCGTTTTGATGTCGTTTCTTTATTCCCTTTCGTCATGTCGTTTTTCCTTTTGTTGTTCTTTTGAAATTATTCTATCATTCTAATTCTTTTGTTTCCTTTTTGTGTTTATCGTCGTATTTCATTTCACCACATTTTAATTGTTGTTTCTCTTTCTTTTAGTGTCGTTTGTAACTTTTATATCATTTCTCTTTTATAATCGTCTCTACTCTCTAGTTGCGGCCGTGTTCATCCATTTTTATGTCGTTATTTTTATTATTTCCAAATTCCTTTGTCGTCCTCTTTTCCTTTTTTGTTTTTTTTTTCTCTTTTTTGGTATCTTTTTTCTTATTACCGTTTTTATTGCTTTATGTCGTTTTTCATTTTTTTTTGGGTACTGTGGTTTTTGTTTTTAGGTTTTCTATAAGCCTTTTTTTTTGGGGGGGCCGAATTCTAGATGTACATTGTTGTTTATTTTCTCTTTCCTTTTTCTTAAAAACACAACTAGTGAAAAAAGTACTTTTATTACCTTCATTATATACAAATGATGAACCTATAATATTTGAAAATGGAAAACATATACTAACAATATTTAAAAAAAAAAAAAAAAAACGAAAAAACCTGTAAAATCCAAAACCCGATACTAGTATCCAACCAAAAAGACTTGTATTGCTATTTACTCCTTAGTGGCGGTTTTTGAGAGTAATTCTGAAGCTCTTCTCTTCTCCATGGTGCTTAAACTCCAAGATCTTGGGCTCCACAGACACCGAAACTCCAACGGGTTCGTGCACTTTGACAACTTAGGTTCCCGGCTGTCCAACGTTCTTCACTGTCCGAGTAACGGTCACGGAACCAGAGAGATTCGGAGCCGTCACGGAAGGATAGTTGAAGTCCAAAACAGTGACGTTCTTGGCGGAACATTCGTAAGGCTTGTCGTTCAAGGCTTGAATCTGGGTCTTGTTGTATCCTAGAGAGCAGAGGAAGTTGAGACTTTGTCGTTGGTGCTCCAGTATACTCGTAGACCAGACCAGGGTCCATGGCTCGGTTCGGTCGTATAGGCGGTCGCCGTAGTTAAACGGCAATGCCTTTTGCTTTAAGGCGGTCTTTGCTGGATTGCCCTGTGTTATCTCTCGTTCTTGCTGTGCAACAAACACAAACAAAAAAAAAAAAAAAAAAAAAGAAAGGAAAGGAGATGAGACCTTAATAAGATAATGAATGAACAAAAGATTGTACCTTAAGGTGCAAAGCATTCTTGAGTTCACTTGCTAGCTGCCACGGTGATCAACCAAGGTGCAACGTTTGTGACACTTCCTTCGGTTGGTCCGGAGTTTCCAGCAGAGACAGCAACCGAAACGCCCTTCTTGCCCCAATAGCGATACTATCTTCCCAGTAACCACCAAGATCTCCACCAACTGATGTAGCCCTCCAAGATATCAGCACCGTGTACTGTTAGTTTACCGATCCATCCTAAAAGCTTAAGCTATTAGGAGGTGGACCAACAATAATTTTTATACTTTAACACTTCCCCTCACGTGTGGGCTGGACAATGGGCAATCGTGTGGATAAATTAATTAGAAAGCCCAACACGTGAATATTTAAAGCTCGAGATATATTAAAGACCCAACACATGATGACAATTTTAAATGGGGATAAAGAGTGCAATTACGGGGGTTTGAACTCAGGACCTCCCGCTCTGATACCATGTTAATTTACCAATCCATCCCAAAAGCTTAAGCTATTAGGAGGTGGGCCAACAATAATTTTTATACTTTAACATGTACCGCCACCGTCACCGGAGATCGGTGGCCAGCATACCTTGTAGGCCACCATGCGGGCTTTAGAGGAATTGCCTTTGACTGTCCCGTACTTGCCGACGCCCAAAACTCTGGCTCCGGGGACAAAGTTACCACCGGGTGTGGATGGCGTGTGACTGCCATGCTCTTGATGGTCACGTGCACTCCTTTTGGTAGAGTTGAGCTTCCCTCCCCAGGCCTCATACCCTTTGCTGAAGTACCTTGCTCCTATGACCTTCCTTATAAAGTCACAAAAACATGGATGATAGTTTTAACATAATGTATTATAATATTATAAGCAACTTAATTAGATGGTTTAGAAGTGACTAACTAATTAGTAAGGACACAATTAACAATTACTTTAGTCAATAGAGGAGAATTAAGTGAAATTTAAATAAATTAATAGAACCTGTTGCAAGCGAATCCATCTGTAGATCACTTATGGCAAGTTCCTTTCAACCTTGATGGAATAGGTCAATAGCCTATACGGATAAATAATTCTCTATTTTTTTTTTTATTATTTATAAAGACGGTAATTAAGTCAAAGAATATATGTCTACATAATAAGGTTTGAAAATCTCTAGATGGATAAAAGATACTAAAAATGCAAATTTATGAAGAATGTACTCAAAATTATTGACACAAAAATGTATATACATATATAATGCACGGAACTATATATACAATCCATTTCCATGGAAAGCAAATGAATATCTAAGTAATGAGAGAACGTAAAAAGAATTACGAAGAACATCACACTCTCTCATCTTCAAGCATCATGAAACCCCATGTACGTGTGGTGTGTAATTTCTTTGTTTCGTTTAGGAACACCGACAAAACTTTTGGGTGCTCTGAATTTTAAATAAATAAATATGTTAATAAATAAAATGCTTGTTGGACTTTGTCCCACATTGCGTGAGAAGGAAAGTGGAGAGAGGTTTAAAGCTTATATAACAAGTGCAAAGCTCTAGTTTCAATTGTCCTAATAAGAAGCGCTTCAGGTATAGTCTACGTATAGTATGGTGGAGTTTATTGGTATGGATTTAAAAAATCTATAATTTTGATATTTGTTTCAGGATTTGTTGCCTCTCTCCCTTCAAAGAAAATAAAGTATGTGTAACTACTGCACGTTATACTTGTAATTATACCTGTTGAGAAAATTTATAATTATACAAATGAACTAAGGAATTCATAATTATAATTCCTTAATTCTTGTTGAGAAAGGAATTAAGGAATTCATAATTATACCAGAAACCAAGGAATTCGAATTAGCTGCACAATTAACATGCATTGATTTAATTACTAATTACAGTTTTTAAGCGTGATGATTATGTTGTTTGTTCCATTTAATGTCGTTCTATTCAAACTTTTGTTTTATGTTGTTTGTTCATTTTTTAATGTCGTTCTATTCAAACTTTTGATTTTATTTCTTACCTTACTATCGTTTTTATTTGTTGTTTTCTTTTTCTTTTTTATTTCATTTTTCATTTTTTTAAAGATGTTTTCTTTTATGTTGTCGTTTTTGTTTGATGTTATTTCCATTTTATGGTCTTTAACATTTCATGTCGAGTTGTCCTTTTATAGTCGTTTTCTACTTTGATATCTTCCTTTTATTATCGATTGTGTATAACTTTGTTTTTGTTTTTGTTTTCCTATCTTATTCTTGTTATTGTCGTTTTCTATTTGATGTCGTTTTCTTTTATCGTTTTCATTGGATGCAGCTTTTTCCTTTTCTAGGCGTTTGAAAAGGTGCCATTGTCGTTTCCGTCTAACGTGATTTTCAGATGACGTCGTCTTACCTTCATTGTCATTTTCATTCGTCTTGTTCTTGACTGGTTAAATGCGGCAACCTGTGAAAAATAATAATAGTTGAGAAAACGCTACGATAGATTATAACAAAATCAAAATTCAAAGGGACTTATTTTGGGTGAAATGCAAATCAAATCAATCACTTGGTTTAAAGATTTTCAAATTAAATCAAATCAATTAAGGGGTCTAATCTAATTCAAACCATACTGATTGTAGTTGGTTTGGTTTGGTTTTCTAAATTCCAATTGATTTAAACTAATATTTTACAATCTGTTGTCTTATAGGATAGATATTTCATTATTTCTTGACTATAAGCATCAATAATTCAAGAATGAAATATCAAATTCAATGATAAATAAAACATAACGAATTTTTTAAAATATGAATAAGTTACTGATATATGAAATATGTATAATTTTAAGAAAGTATATATACATAGAATTGATTTAATTTGATTTAGTTTTTTAGAGGATAAAATTACAAAACAGAGCTAATTTAATTTGTTTTTTAATTAAAACCAAACCGATTATTAATTGATTTGGTTTGATTTCCTTTTGATTTAGTTTAGTTTGGTTGGTTTGAATACTTTGCTGCACACCCCTAATTTCCCCTCTTTTTTTTTCTTCAAGTTTAATCTTTCTCACTGGTAATAATGAAAAAACAAAAATAAAATCCATAATAAAAATAGAATATCAAAGTCCAGCTACATAAGCATCTTATAGCCAGTTTGGTTCATGGATTAAAACCATGAGATTAAAATTATAGTCAGTTTGATTCATGAATTAGAACCATGAAATCAGAATTATTTTCGATTTACGTGTGTTTTTTGTGAGGAAAAATACTGTAACGAATCATAAACCATGATTCGAATCAGAGAACAAATCCTCCAACCAAACGGGACTTATGAATGATCAACCAACTAAAGCAAAAAATACAACCTAATAGCTACTATCTAGGAAAGCAACTGTTATTTTAACTCCACTATTTCACTTATGTAGGAAAATAATCGATACATAATGATTAAGGAACACAAACCATTCCTTTTTCCAGAACATTGCCATTATCATTCTCAAAATCTTTTTAATTATAAATATTCACAAGTGAAAGGGCAAAAAAATTATTAGGAAAAAAAAAAAAACCAAGAAAGAAACATGGATGAAGGGCTAACTCATTCTCTTTCTTCTATCTGACAAAGTTCATATATATACACGAGAAAGAGGTGAAAATTGAACAAAAGTATCAGATTTCTCTATCAAAATTGGACTCCATAAAAGCAACCCCGTGAAAGAGAAGATGGCCGCAGGTGTTATGAAGTGCTGGGTCTGGGGAGACGTTCAAGAAAGTATGAAGGCAAACTTCTTCTTCTTCTTCTTTTTTCTTCTTCTTTTATTATTATATTTTTTTTTACCAATTATGCAACTGAGAAGTAATGCTTTTTACCACGGGGTGATATACTGTGTGCATGTGTCTCTTAGCTTTCTCTGAACCAGACTGCTCAAGCCACTCATCATATATCTTTCTAACGAGAGCGTTTTCAAAAGGATCAGCTACCAGAACCTGCAATAATGAGAGGTCAAACAAGCAAAATATGTGAGATCACAAACGATTGAATCGCCAAGGAAGGCCAAGTAACAGATTAAAATAATACACACAACGACTACAACCGTTGAGGAATATTAGGATCGTGCAGAATGAGATTATCTCAACTATCTCTAATCAGCAAAAAGCGCAAATGAAGAACACAAGAATATAATATTTACCCGGATAGAAGTGAAGTGTTCTTCAGGTGAAATAGATTTGTGTTAGTACATTTGTGTTCCTTTAAAAGATCCCTTCAGAGTTATGGAAGTCAATGTACTTAAAGAGGTTAGAGGCAATGCTACTTGATACAAAGAAATACACCTTTATTGATAGAAAGAAGTTAAAAATATATAATATTTAAAATAAAAATAAAAAAAAAACTAGCATTGCAAATTTGCAATTAGTTATCTCCACATTAAAAAATAATAAAAAAATCATTTAATCCTTATGTTGTTACAGGCAAATCAGTTCAAAATTTCACAAACATTTAATGAGCTTTAGAGGGTTAACGAATTCTTGCATTTATTGACTTTTGCATTAAAGACTTCCTACTAGTAGTAGCGTCTGACAAATATATGCATGATGAACAAAAGTAAATCCGTAAATGTTTCTGAAGCATAACAAGGGCAAAAAAAAAAAAAAAAAAACACAGAGAGAGAAACTTTAAGTGAAAAACACATTGCAAAATCAGACGCCACAAATTCAAAATGAAGCTTCTGATAGGGTGAGAAGTAAGAACTCACATTTTCCATATAAATAGTTTCCAACAACTGAATCAGATCCCTCCCAGATTGGCCTGGCTTTGGCTTGATTTGACCTCCACCATTCAAGCAACCTATTTATCACACCACGTTCTTGTTAGTACCAACTTCAAATTCAAAACTTTCTACAAAGGAAAAAAAAAAAAACAAAAACAAAAAACTTCAGATTCAAAACTGAAAAATGCAAATGAGAATTCACTGCAATAGAGCATGAATAAAAGTGTCACAACAAAATAATTGATAAAGACGAAAGAATTTATACCAGAAGGGCACGCCATGATCTCCAAGAAATGATAATCACATTTTCCAATTTTTATTTTCCTGACAACATTTTGCAAATTTCGAAAACCATAACATAGCGCAAACTTTAACACAGTTTTCCCCTCCACCTACATTGAGACAGCACAATATTGTTAATGAAACAATGATCTGCAAAATAAAAAATATGAATTTTGCATGCTCAAACTGTCAAAATTTAATATTGCTGATTGAAGGTTTTCAGAAATTCTAATGACACGTCCATTTAGCAGAGCTGACAATCCAAGGGAATTATATCATAACTTCATAAGCCAACAAATTAAGAACAAAATAGAAAAAGTTGACTTACTTCCAAAGTAGTCTCTTGGAAATCCGAGTTTCTGATAGTTCTGAACTCCAGGGGACCTTCGACTTTTTCCCCAAATAACACCTTAGCAGCACGTCTGAATATGGTTTCTGCATAACCTCCTGAGCTTCCAGGGACTCCATAAAACTGCCCTTCTCCAGTAACATTTGTCAGCCTGGACAAAATCAGCGATATCATTTTGTAAGTAAGAAGTCAAGCGCAAAAGAATAAGCCTAAGAGGCACAATTCTTGTTCTTACAAGCTATCTAGGGGTGAATCTTCCAACGCTTTAAAGTCCACTCCTTTTAACTGCAACAATTGAACACCAAAAGACATTAGTTAATATATGTTAATGTCATAAGGAACAACAAATAATGTCAACACAGAAAAAGTTACGATTACAAGAAAGACTGCCACACCTGTATCAGTTCTAGAACTTCCCCAGATGTCAAAACTGAATCTACCTCTGTAATCATTCGAGCTTCATTGTCATTGGTTTTGGCTTGAGATTCAACTTGAAAAACAAAGTCGTCCCTAGAAGCCTCAAGCTTCTTATCATAACAAGGCATCACAGTTACATGATAAATCTCGTCTGGCCTGTTCGATTAACAGCATTAAAGCGTGCTTCATATCAGAATGCAGTGACAGTAAGGATTCAATAGGCAGAACAAAAGCTGCAAGAGGTTCAAGTACCTAAGTTCCATTTTCCGACATATGTGATTTTTCACAATGGCTCCAATTGTTTGCTGGGGACTCTTCACTGAAGAAATATAAGGCAAAATGTACGACCCAAGCTGTTTTTCAGCATAGCATATCCAACCTACAGAAGAAGAAGGACGTTAATGCAAGTGTATTCACAGAAGAAGACAAAAAGAAGCGTATTTGTGAATATTAACTATGAGATACTTTTTTTGTTTTCCCCTCCACTGGTACAAACAGGGCAAAAAGTACTAGATCGTGAACTTTGCGCTTGTGGGTAGATTTGGATTGGAGAGAGAAGAGAGAAGGATGTATTGCAGTTGCCAAACACATACCTGGACATGAAGAGGAAATCATGGGCAAGGAAGATTTAGATTTCTCATCATCAACCGATTGGCTTTTTTTGTATCTTGCGATGAATTCATTACAAGATTCAATAAGGGTTAAATCTCTACTGCAGCTTGTATCAAATATAGCCTTTACCCCCAATGACTTAAAAAATGTAGTTAGTTTCTTTAAGACCTGAAAATCACAAAAGAACATCCAACGTTAAAAGTCATTACACCCAGATACCCTTAAGTAACTAATTTTTTGCATGGTCTTTTTTTTCCCCCTTACAAGTGATAAGAAATGGAAATGGAAGGCACGGTGCATAGTTATGTCAAACTTCAACCACCAAATAACTGAGAAAAATACGCAATTTTCCAACATTGAAAGAGAAGAATGCTCTCACCTGAAGTGGTGAAATACCAAAATGAACTGCGAGAGAAGCTCTTGACTGGGGAGAAACGGAGACAATTACAACCTTCCCTTTAGAAATATTAGAAAGAAACTCATCCAAACTTTGTTTCTCTAGCATAATCGTCTCAGCAGATGTTACACACCCACTGCATGGAACGTCAAATGATGAAACATTGTACTATTTGTACTTGAAAACAACTAGCACAACTTTCAAACCAATCACAAATTAAGGAAACAATCAAAAGGGGTTCACAAACAAAGCACATTATTTAAATTTCAGTTACTTCCAATTTCAATTTCAACTTCAGTTAGCGCAAAGATGCTCTAAGAGAAACAACGCGAGTCAGAGGGAGATTAATTTACCTGCAAGCTAAGCAATCCTTCAGAGAAATTTTCACAGGTTCTGATTTTAACTGGTTAATTGAAGTCGAAACCTTCAAACAAAACAATTAAAATTTATGATTAGATTATTCAAAAAAAAAAAAAAAAAAAACTTACTGTAGCACCAAAATCTAAAACCCGTTCTACCGAAAAAAAAACTACCTTAACTAAATTAGGTCGTATTCTTTTTTCCAAATTATTAATTAAAAAACTATAGTGATCGAAAAGAAAAATTGACAGTTAGTAGGCAATTAAGCGAGTGAGGGGACAAAAAAAAAAAAAAAAAAAAAAACCTCAGGTTTAATATCAGAGGGCTTGGCTGAGGAGGCTTTGAGTCCCTTGAGAGAGACTATGCAGGCCTGAGATGGCGCTATGAAATCGCTCAAATCGCCAATCCGTAGCGTCGGCGAGAACTTCTCCGACATCTTTATATTTCCACTACGATTGTCGATAAATAAACCCGCGAATTTATCCAAGAAATTGGAGTTGACTTGGTTTTTCAGAGAAGCTAGGGTTTTTGGAGCTCGAAAGCAACGAATTCAAATGGATTGTAGAGAGAGAGAGAGAGAGAGAGAGAGAGAGAAGAATGTTGGGTAGGTCAGAAGAGCTCATAGGCGGTGAATTTGGAAGGAGAGAGGTAGGAAGGATTCTATGTGACCTATAAAAGAGAACATATCGTTTTGACACCAATGAGGTGCTAGAGAATCGTGGAAAATTTGTATTGCGCATTACTTCGTCCTCAGGTTCTTTGGCTAGATGGGTGATGCTCAGTACACGACAACTATACGACAACCATTATGGGGCACGTGTCAACCACGTTCCACCTAGCTTTGGTTAGCTGGGACATCCACAAAAATGGGGATCAGATATTTTTAAAAAATTATCGGAAATGAATAAACGACAAAAAGTTTCAAAACGACACCGTTTGAGACAACTGAGAAAAGTAAAACGATATTAACATAGGTGAAAGACAAATGAGAAAACAGCATAGAAAAGGAGAGAAATTAGGAGATGACAACAACAATATCAAACAACAAAATATGGAATGTCAGCCAAAAAAAAAATGGAATGCCTTTGGGGAAAGAAAGAAAACCACGACAGAGTGAATAAACGACAGTAAAACAAAAAATGAAGGGCAACAAAATAAATAAACGACAAAAGAAGAACACGACAGCAAAATTTTGTTACGATACCGTTCGAGAAACAATAAAAAAAAAAAAGTACAAAACTTCAACATCATCGATAAACGATAAATCTTGAAAACGACAAAAAACAAGAGAAATTAAAGATGATAACAATGTGATCAAAGAACGAAAACACAAAATGTCGACAAGAAGAACAAAAGGCAACAAATTTAAAAAACGATACTGCTTGAGAGTTGAGACACAAAAGAGAGAGAGAGAGAGAGCAGAGAAGAGAAGAGACAATCGACAGAAACCTTAGAACGACAATAGTATAGACAAATGGCAAAAACAAAACGACAGGAAATGAGAAAACAACAAAAACATAAAGGATACTTTTGGAATTAGCTTCATATTGTTTTTGAAAATGTTTCTACGCGTTTTTTGAGAAACAAAAATAAAAACAGTTTATAAACTGTGTTTGTTTAGTAAATTTTTAAAAACGAAAATGAAAATAAAAAATAATAGTGAGAATGATTTTTGTAAACAAATTAGAAAACGATTGATTGAAAGTTGTCTTCTCTTTTTTATTTTCATTTTTTAGTACTTATCAATAATGTTATAATATATTAATTAATAATTATAACTAAACGTGATTTTCTTTTTTTTGTTGTACTCAAAATAATATCTTAAAAAATTAATCAAATGCAATTTTAAAATCAGTTTCAGAATGATTCTCAAAACAATCTCATTTTTATTTTTATATTAAACATAAAATTATTTTAAAAACGTTACTAAACAGGCCAAAATGTCTAAGACATGGATAAACAAGAACAAATTTAAAACACAAAAAAGAGCGAGAGAAAATTCAACATCGATTGGTCGATTACAACCTGAACAAACGAATTAAAGCGATGGCAAAATGAATAAAAAGCTTTCAAAACAATATATATATATTTTTTAGGTCATGCCTTCTAAAGTAGATTTTAACATCCCCTTTCCAACGTAATAGCTATTAGCTAGATAAGTTTCTCTCTCTCTCTCTCTCCCTCTCTCTCTCTCTCTCTCTCTCTCTCTCTCTCTCTCTCTCTATATATATATATATATATATATAAGCTATTAGCTAGATAAAAAGTTACACCTTTTATTATGTTAAAAATGTAGTTTAGACTGATAGACTGTCTTCTTTCCAGTTGCAACGTTTATATTTATATCATTGTTGTTCCAAAGTTCATTCTTTTAGGCACATCTTCCAGACTTGGATTTGCATATTTCGGCCTGAAAAGTATAATTTATTGGCACATAACCGAACTTGTATTTGCAAGTGAAAGCCATGGCCTCATCATTTGTGTCCAAGACTTTCACTTGGACAAACCATAATAAATTAGTACAGAAAAAAAAAAAAAAAACTTGATGGACTAAAACATGAAAACAACAATGCCTGTGTTTATTGTTATCCAGTGGGAAGTCACAAAGTCAATACTTACAACCATCGCAACCACCATTTTGTCATCGTCATCATCATTATCATCAACATCATCCTATTGTAATAAGCAGACCAGACACTATTACAGAAACCATGTTGTGGACAAATAGACAGAACTAAGTACACTAAGTCCTACCACCTAGCGCTGCTCTTGGCCTTGTTACCGCCATACAAACGGAAAAGATTGAAAGCTGAGATGCCGGAGATCACCACCGTACTAAGGCTAACCAACAAAGCACTAGCGATTCCCTCTCCGACTTGGTTGCAGAATTTATCATACATGTTGCATATTTTCATCCATTGCAGCTCCGCCTGCCCCAGCTTGGCAAACACTGCCGCCTGCGCAGCAGCTCCGACTGCAGCCACCGTCACGTAAGCCATCACCTATGCACATAACATCGTCCCAATTATTCATCAGAAAGCAGTGTGATTTTCTGAGATTAAAGTCTCAAGTTCGAATAGTATCGCTAATTTTTCATTGAAAAAGACCTACAGAAATCAGGAGTTTTCAGAAATGGAAGGCCAATTAGTAATTATAAGTTCTAACGAAGCTTAGTATACATGTACCTAGTTCACCAAACTTACAATGTCATGAACCCTGACCTACATAGGATCTTCAGAATGCATTTATGACCACATTTCAGAACATCTTATGAAATATGATCTTCTTCTAGAAAATTGTAGGGTTCCTATGGAAATTCTTACTTTGGACAAAAAAACAGGTGGTCCACTACTTTGAAAACACACATCGGGGGGTAAATCCATATGCATCAAACTAATTAATGGCCACAAGTAGCTTTTGCCATATGTGCAGTCTTTTCATGCATAATTTTCACGTAAAGACACAACCACCACAACTTTAGAATTATGACAACCGTAGTAAGAAATGCAAGCAATATTACAAAGTTTGTCCACATTGCATGATAAAACAGAGTTTTCCCGGTCTTCACTATCAGAATATCAACATTATATACGGATTAGGATGAGATAATCACAATGGAAATATTCCAAAATCTCCCCTTTTTAAAAAAAAAAAAAAAAAAAAAAAAAAAAAAAAAAAATCTTTCTTCCATGATTTGAAACAAGTTCTACCTTAATATGCTCAACATATAAATATGCAGGACCTTATGGTCTGATACCGATGAATAGCTGTTCACATAGGTTATTTTTTTGCAGTCACACAAGAAATTGACATATCCAAGGGGCAGGACCATTTTCCCCATTACATGCAAAAAATGAAAGCTAAAGAATTTAGTACAATTCTCCTGAATTTTTTAATTAGAATTATTCTCGCTTTTATTCATGAATTTTAACGTCATTTCCAATCTATCTTAGCTTTGAAAACTCTCACTTTGTTTCTTAAATTTTGAATCGGTACCACTTAACCGTTTTGTCAAAACTTTTATTATAAACAGACAAAAAAGTTCTAACTAGACAGAGAAAAAGGAGGTAGAGCGGTCACACGGTTTTTCTGTTAAAATTTTTATTAAAACTAACAACAACAACAAAAAAGCCCACATGACGAGTAACTCCTCTTTTTTGGTTTTATTTTAACAAGAATAAATTCAATGAGCAAAATTGAGAATAACCCTAAAATTAACCCTAAAATTCAAGGTGTATTGGTGAGATCAAGCCTTTTAATTATTAGAAAGTCAAAATTAATTTTAACCCACGCCGTATCAGCTTAAACTATTTTTCTTGTTATATATATATATATATATATATATACATATATATATATATATATATATTAGTTCACACCCTCTCAGATTAAGGCACTGAGAGCATTATTTAAATAGTATGGAATTTTACAATGCTGGCCTACCTTCTATCATAAATATGACTGTAAAAACGAAGCCGTGTTAATTGGAGAGATTTTGTAAAGCATAGAAGAACTTTGATAATAAACATTCGGAAAGAACTACAGTAGATAGAAACATGTAGGACATGTGAAAATTAAATGCCTTGAAAACGAAGCAGCCCAAAAAGAAGAAGGAAAAAGAAAAAAAAAACACAAAAGCTTTAAATTTAGGAGCAATGAATTTGATATAACGTACCTGATCACCAGAGAAAATGACCCAAGCTAAAGGCTTGCTAAAGATCACATTTCCCCTAACCATGCTCACTACACAACGCAAAGCCTGCACCAAAGAGTAAGCTGCAACAATCCCATTTGCTGTCGCCAAAAATCTGTTCAAAAACACCCCCAAATATTAAAAAAATCTCAAAAAAAAAAAAAAAAGAAGAAAGAAAACAAAGAGTTGTGGATTATCATAAATTTCATACACAAGTGCTTTCATGTCTGTAAACTTGGCCTTCTTCTGGATTGAGAAGATCTCTTTCACTTGTGTATCTGTGGCCACAAGAACACAAGCGACAATTCCAAGAACAGAGATGAGACATCTCAACACTAACTCGGCCATTCTCACTCTCCGATCCACAACTCTTGAATCTGTCATGTGATATACTGGTACATTCCCAGGACTAACACCAACACCCAAGTAGCTCATATTTCTTCACCCCCCCAAAAAAAAATACAAGAGAAAATGAAAATGAAATTTCTTTTTTTTCTTAAAAAAAAAAAAAAAGGCTCCTCAAACACAGAAATAAATCAGCTGCCTTAGTATTTCCCTAGTACACTGTCGGATGAAGAACTCAACTGCCCAACATAGACTTCCCCGCTGCTTAAATAGACACGACTAAAACAATAAAATAAAAAATAAAATAGAAAAAAAAAGGCTATCTTTTTTCTGGGGTTTTTTTTTTTTTTGGTTTTCCTTGAATTCCCCAAATTTTGGTGATGGAGATTTCTTGACAAGTGGTGAAAGGCAAGGCCGTGGAAGCTCAAACACTCGTACAGAAGAAAAGATCCTTACGTATTAGATTGTATTAAATGGAGGCCTGCCTCATCTCAGCTTCAGCATTTAACTCTCATACTGATCAAAGAGAGAGAGATAGAGAGACCCTAGCCAAGAAGAAATCAAAGTGATTTTTTTTTTTAATTTTATTTTATGGGAAGAGGCAATGGTTTCTTGTCCCAAGACAAAGAAAGGTCCCCTCAGTCAGATAAGGTGAGGATTTAAGGCATGTTCTTTTGTCTAAAAAATTTTAAAAAAGATAATTTTAATTTTAATTTTATTTAAATTCACGTTTTTTTAAGTTTTAATTTTATTCAATTTTATTCAATTTTATTTAAATTCTAACTTCAACTCAAATTATAACTCAAATTCAACTCAAAAACTACACTCAAGTTACACTTCAAAAGAACAACCCCTTAAATTCTATCATTCAATGAGGTGTGGTGTTAGAAGTAAACAAGTTAATATCCATGAGTTTTTAATTTAAATTAAGATATAATTTTATATAAATTTTTTTTATTATAATAAAAAAATTAAATATAATTATTTTTAAAAAAATTTTACTATAATAAAATTTAAATTAATAAAATAAATTATGCCTAAATTTCTCTCTCTTTAGTCCATGATAAATGTGGTGGAATTCATGATGACCCATTAGTCCATTACCTACACAAATAAGTCCTATAAATTAATATTGCTTAAATAAAAGAAGAAATCATCATGAGCATTATTTGAAGTGTTTTAGATCTCATTTATTTTATTAATTTAAAATTTTAATTTTAAAGTCTGTTTAGTACATTAATTTGAGTTTTTAATTCGAATTGAGATGTGATTTTATATGAAAACTTTTTACTGTAGTAAAAAAGTTAAATGTAACTATTTCTGAGAGTTTTTTACTGTAATAAAACTCAAATAGGTGAAATGAGTGAAGTCTTAATTTTATTACCGTTAAAAATTTTTATAAAAATTTTTTATATAAAATTATATCTTAATTTAAATTAAAAAATTAAATCTATAAACTGAATGAGGCGTTATTTAGATGGTGTGAAAGTTGGGAAAAAAAAAAAAAAAACAAAGACAAGGATATGATTAAAGTGAATGATTAAAGTGGGTAGTTTTAGGTTTGTGACCACCTTTAATTCGCAAGATCTTTGATGTGGTGGCGGGCCATTAGTGCGGTAGGTGAAATGTGTCTTGGCGAAGTGCCAACTAACTGCAATGCATTCAGAGTAAATATATAAATATACAAAACTAACAGCAATGCTATTAATGCTATGCATGCCCAAATAAAAATGTTTTATAGTTTGCAAATTGCAAACTCACTCAGAGACACTAACGAAAGTACTTTTTGCCAAGCAGAAACTAGAAACCAGACTATAAAAGGAATCTTTTTTTTTTTTTTTTTTCCCTAGGCCACTTAAGCCATGGTTATCAGGGCTGTTCATAGATTGAGTTGGTGCGGAGTAAGATTTTTTTTTTCCGTCTCAAAAGGTGCGGGTTGCACATATTTGGCCCCAATGATGCTAGAAAAATTTCACAACCCAACGATATTCGGGTTTGGTTGGGGCAGTGCGGGGTGGGTTGGGCGGTCGGTTTCAACATTCAAAAAATTAAAGACTTAAAGTTCAATATAATATTCAAATTTCATCATTAAATAGAAATAACAACAATCTTTATCAGTCCATCTAACATCAAACATGAAGCAAAATAGTCCATTCAACATCAAATACAAAGTAAACATAAATTAGTCTACACTTATAAATTAGTCTTAACATAAAACAAATAGCTTAAGCAAAGCAAACATAGAGGCTTAAATCTTAATTCAAATCCATTCAAAACAAGCATTGCAACATCAACCATCTTTATCAATCCACACTCATAGACTCCTCAATGGTTGTAATAGGACATGAAGTTGAGTTATCTACAAGAGAAATGAAAATAGCTTAAGTAATAATTTAGATAGTTTAGAGTTCATATAATAAAATAGATTAAGATACATACAAATTATTGTCTTACCTAATGTCAGCGAGCCTAGGGTAGAACTTGAGCAGGTTGGGCTTAGACCGAAAGCTTGAGGGTATGTTGTGCGGGTTGGGTTGGGGATTGCAGGTTGTTATGGGCCCAACCCGTAATCCGTCCCAAACATTTCGGCCCAGAATGGGCCGAAAATTTAAAAATAATGTTACGGGTTATTTTTTTTTTTATTTAAATTGGGACGGAGTGGGTTGAATTTACGGGTTGTTCGAGTTTATGAACAGCCCTAGCTGTTATGGTCGGATGAGTTGCCACTCGTCAACAACTGGCACTGGTCATACATTTATTTGAAGAGGAAAAAAAAAAAAGCCACCGGCTTCATAAATATATATAGGAAGCCGCACCAGTAAGGTTTGTTTATTATTATTATTATTTTTATATCTGTGTAATATCATTTATAAACGTGTGTAACAGACTGTTGATTTTTATTAAAATTTAAAAAATATGATATAACGCATGTAACATTGAGTGTTACAAAAATAATCATATGATATTATAAAAAAATTATATTTACGATCTATATGATACTTTATCTATATGTATATGCATATGTATACATAAATCTCATTTATTTTCTCCTTTTTTTTTTGGTCAAATTATTATTATCTCCTAGACGAAGTTACTCAGCTCGTGTGTAGAGTGATTATTTATTTTTCTTTTGTTTCAAAAAGTACTTAAATGAAACATAATAGTCTAACGGATAACGTTGTTCAATATTTCACCGATTGGTAACTTATCAATTATTATATATTTATATATTTTTTTTTTTTCTCAAAGCAGCGATAGAATATCGATGATCTTACCGTCTAAATACCTATATGTTTTTTTGCAACTTATGGTTCATTCTTCTTCCTTTTTTCTAAGAAAACCAAGATATCTTTTATAAACATTAATGGAAGAAATATCTAATATCCATATTTTTGAACGACATTACATTTGAAACCTCGGTAAATACTTACTCAGCAAAAAAAACTGTAATATAACTTGATAAAACAGACATTCAACTATTTGTTTATGTTATTCATGATAGTACGAGATTTGATCCAAACTCAAAGTAAGAAGTAGATCAATGTATCTATTGACACATTAATTAAAATGTTAATCCTTGATTCCTTTCCTATGATTTGTGTTTGAGATATAGAAAATTTACGTGTGCATGTGTGTGATCATCACTGATCATAGGTAATTGGATCAGTCAGATCATGTATATTTCCACAACTTCCCATGAAATTGAAATAAAAGAAACTTGGGGCGCGTGTTAGATTTGGCAGAGATAGCAAAAGATAGATGGATAGATACAGCTATATATATATATATATATATATATATATATATCAAGATGGCCACGATGCCAATATGAGACATGGTCATTGTCAAGTTATATCTTGGTGGCACACTTTTTGGGCGATTCTCTGTATGAGATCGCAATGTGCTATACTGCTATTTATCTTCCAATCTCTATGTCATAATTGTTGGCTCCCAATGTGAAAGCGAATACATATACATATACATATACATATATATATATATATATATATATATAGTGGCATTGCTTTTCACTTCCAATCTATATCTATATAATTGGCTTTCAATGTGAAAGCGATAATGTCCCCTCCATCTTCTTTTATTTAATGCAAATGTATATGTTATATAGTCTTACCAAAAACTCTAAAAAAAAAAAAGCGTTTTTAAAAAAAATTTAGGCCATTATACAATCATATAAAACAATGATAAACACAAACTAGCTAGTATCCTACTTGAGAAAGCAAGCACACAGTAATCCCAGTGTAAAAGCGATGGTGGTTACAGACAGTGATAGATTTAAGTACAACTCAGTAGGGGGGCTCACTCAAATTTTTTTTAAAAAAATATTACCTTTAAAAATTTTAAAATTTTACACTTAAATTCTCACTGAAATAATATATGCTCTCACTAAAATAAATATATTTTCTTATATGCCCCATTAAAATAATTTATTAAAAAAATTTAATGTACGCTTCAACTGAAATGAAATGTTGGCTCTGCCACTGCTCACAGACATGACTCATGAAGCACCCCAATCCGCCATTTTCTCTTCAAAGTGGAACTAGATACTTCTAACCTCAATTTCTTGCCACTATGGGGGAAAAGCAAGAGGACCAATGATGATAACTCAAACCAAATATCCCACTCTTAGACAATGACAACAATAGTAATCAAAAACAAAAATGAGTGAGCAAATACAGCAAGTAAAGTTGGGCCCAATTTTCCCCAATGGAAATAACATATTAATGAAAATAACATAGAACAAGGTTTCATGATCTCTCAGCACTTATTTTGAAGTTAAGGAACATAATCAAACTTGCACGAATCGTGACCTGCCACCAAATAAGGTAAAAGATTAATTAAAAAAAAATCACGAATATTTACTTACTTGGAAAAGATAACCCAAAGTTTTTGATGATAAATTTACTTGGAAAACGTCATCATGATCAACATGGCTAGTCAAGATCATTTCAATGAGTTATGTGGAAACTTAACTCGGATTAAGAGCAGTAACCATGGCGGCAGCATTGAAGTAGCAAGATCCTCCTTTGTGCTTGAACTTCTGATAGTAATCGTTGAAGGCAAAAGCGGCGTGGTCCTTCAACGTGTTGGGCAAATAGCAAGGTTGGCCCACTTGTATCTTACTGCAATCCGCTCCTCCCTTTTGGCAAGCCCAATCAAGGGCCTTTTGCAACTCCTCTTCCGGGGTCTGCTCATCTACTACGCACCATTCCTCCATATATTGCCCACCTTTCAATGATGTATCAAAAATAATGCATTATGATCAGAAATCCAGAGGAATTGCTTCCACCCTCCTTGTTAAAATGGGGCCTCTTTAAATACTATAAAATTTTTCCATTTGTCTTCTCTTATTTTGTATCTAAATATCAATTTAAGAAAGAGCATAAATTTCTAAGAGAATGGCGCAAAACACTAATGACTTGAATTAAGGAGCAGATTGTTAAAATATAAAATTATTATTGGCTTACCTTCTAACAGCTTAAGCTTTTAGGATGAATTGATAAACTAACATAGTATCAGAACGGGAGGTCCTGAATTCAAACCCCTGTAATTGCACTATTTATCCCCATTGAAATTTGTCATATATTGGTCTTTAATATATCTCAGCTTTAATATTCACGTTGGGCTTTACAATTAATTTACCCACACGATTGCCCTTTGTCCAATCCACACGTGAAGGGGAGTGTTAAAGTATAAAACATTAAAACTATTGTTGGCCCACCTCCTAACACCTTAAGCTTTTAGGATGAATTGGTAAACTAACACAAATTCCCTAATTGTCTCATATGTTTTGATTCTATGTTCTATTTTTGTGTCCTTAGCCTAACAAATTGTATTATACCACGCTAATTAAAAAATTTAGATTTTTTTCTGACTAACCTCTAGATGCTTTTTCAAAAAATAACGTGACATATCTAAACACTAAAAATTGAACAAGTGTTGTCAATCCAAAAGCTACTTATGAGCGTTGAAGGCTACAAGCCAAATGGGATATGTAAATTAATTGAGCTCATTGAAAATTAAGGCATATTTAGTTCACTGATTCGAGTTGAGATGTGATTTTATGTGAAAATTTTTTACTGTAACAAAAAAGTTAGATGTGACTGTTTCTGAGAGCTTTTTACTGTAGCAAAACTCAAATTCTAAACTCAAATCGGTGAAATAAACGGAGTCTTAATGTACACAAATTAATGACTGATAAGATTTGGAGCTTCGTGGATTATGAAGATGAGCTTACCAGATCTTTTAGGATTTAGAGTCAAAAGGAGCAGAGGGAACAAAATCCTTAGCAAAGTCGTTGCCATAGCACTCTAAAAACAGCAAGATCTTCAAGCAACACTTGGAATTGGGCATGCACAGTTCAATGCCGACGAGGAGAGTTATTTTTTCTGAAGAAAATTATAATAATATATTCGTAGTCTTATAGAAAGTTGAGGGCTTGAAGCATAATCTATACGCGTTACTTCAGTCCTAAGGCACTTAATATTCGCTTTGTCTTTTCTCTCAAGATTGCCTAAATTACATAATTATATTCCAAACCCATTTGGGAAAGTTTTTAATAATTAGAATTGACCGACTTGAATCTTCAAAGGAGGCATATTTTATTTCTTGATTTGTAGAATTTGATACCGTGGATTTTATTCCCATGATAAAAGAAGATCAATCTGGATATTTTGATTCATCTCTTCACATAAGTGTATCAAGATATGTCCTTCTTGGCAAGGAAACAGATGAGCAAAAGTGGAAAGTAATCACCTTTTAATATTCTATGCCCATCTGTAAGAACATGAAAACACTCGTAATTGGCAAGAAACCCCAATTAAATCAAGGAAAGAGTCCTTAAATTTAAGATAAAAGAGCAAGGAGATTAAATGCCAATAAAAGTTATAAATTTTAGTAAAGGAAAGTCAAATGTAATTAATGCTTAATTAGAGCATTTTATGGTAGAGTATATACTTCAAAGGGATAACGAATAATATTTTTCATTCATATCAATTCTGTCAATATACAATCAATATATAGAGGAGCATTTCCTATAATTAAGCTATACAATCACCTATAATCATTCACATTTATAGCCATACAATCATATCCAATTATACCCACAATTAAGCTCGATCTTACAGCTATGGTAATCAGACTAAAAAAAGGAAAGAATCACAAACAATTCTCTACTAATCTCCTAAAATCTCATCATATATCCTATTGCATAGTTCATATGTCTAATGTTAGATTTGGTGATAGTATATTTCTAATGTTAGATTTGCTCGAAATTACATTAAAATAAAATGCATGTTTTAGATTTTATTAAAATTACATTAAACTGTAGAAGTGTGTAAAACTACAGAAAGTGATAGAAATCTTACAGTTCAAAATACAACCTTATCTACCCTACCGTCAAATTTTTTTTTTTTTTTTGGTTCAAAATAATGAAATAAAGGATTTTCGTTAGCTTGTAGCTAGCAATATCTTGCAAAAGGGTCGTGTATTCCAAAACGCACACAAGTACTATACTCACATTTCATGTCACATTTGCACTTAGGAACAAAGACCACATTGCCCCACTTGCTCTGTTTCCCTCAGGATTTGATAATCACCACTCCAGTGCCCTACAGTAGTCTAACATAACTAAAATCTTTGTTATTTGTCTAATAAGTCTATTTTAGCTCATTATTTCCTCCAATTTCTGCTATCCATTGTATATATATGACATTTGACTATGAGATTATGATATAACATATCTAAAACAAGGCCGTTTAAATTGCTTCACATGTTATATTACTAGTGGCCAGATTCGATAAGTAATATGAAATGATTTTCTCCCTCATTTTTCGTTACGAATTAGAATATAAGTAGTATGTACGTGGATGGTCACAATCCTCACGGTAGGTATATAATTTGCTTTTTCTTTTTAATTGTTATTTATCACGCAGAAAAGAGAGAGAGATTCAGTGTAAAAGTAAAACTTTCCATCAACTTTTCAAAGGAACAAAACAAGGTAATATTAATTGATTTACAGATGAAGAGAAGTGTCAACATCAGAATAGTCATGATCAGGATCAGAATCTAAGTGGGATTTATCCGATGAGGCTTCCGAAAACTCCGCCGGTGCATGAGTATCCAACGGCCATAATTTCATCATCAAGAGCGGCGTCTGATCGTTAATGCTGCTACAATAGTACTGATCTTCAGAGGCGCTGCTGCTGCACTGCAAGGCCGGCCAGAGCGAAAGAGAAACTTGTGGAGCACTTGGCGATGACCTAATTTGTGGAAAGATCAGATGATGATGATGATGATGATGATCAGAGTGGAAAACCAACCTTAAGGGCTCACAAATCATGGTGGGGTTATTCATGAGATTATTATTATTATTAATGTTATGCTCGGAGAGAATTCTCAGAAGCTCTCTTTCCTCTCTCACTTCCTTCACTCTCTGCAACTGTCTGAATCTCTCTTGCAAAAGGGCAATGGAGGAATGAACAACGGCATGAGTTTGATCATGGATTTCCCTACCCATTACTTAGATATGTATGTATGTTTATATGTGAAAAGAAAATATCAAACTCTCTAATGCATGCAAATATAGCTTATAAGCTTCACATGCATATGTGCATGTGTATTATGTTTGTGTGTATGTATATATAGGGAGCTAGAACATGGTACGGTTAAAATTAGTTGGTTTTGAACAAAATTCTAAATGTTGTTTTGAGTGGGGGAAAAAGGGAATGAGAATCAGGAGGTAAGGTGCAAAATCCAAAGAGAAGAAGTTAAGTGGCCAAATCTTTAGGGGGAGTTGTTCTTGTTCGGTTAGTGTGTGTGTCTATATATATATATATATATATATATA